GCTGAAATAGTCCCATCATCATCATCAACGAAGAACCAGAGTTGATATCCTATCTGGCGCTCGGCGCCCAGACTACATGTGGCAGATCCTATCTACCCTAATACTACAATGCTGAAGTTGACGACAACAACTCTCTCGAAGTACGAGCATACAACAACCAATGTCACACGCTTCCAGCACCAGGTATGTCTCTTGCTACACTCACAACCTCGTTCCCCAACACACAGATGCCACTAGCACCCAAGGACCACCCTGCGCCACACCCAGCTCACAGTAGCGCAGCTCGGCTATGGCTGCCTGCTCCTTCCCTGCTCGCCCGTGAGCGTGTAGGTGCCAGCCTGCAAATAGCGCAGCAGCACTTGCGCAACATGCAGCCAGCACCCAAATGCCGAATGAGGAGGCAGGCCCTTCCCTATATCGAAGTGGCCTGCCTGCGTCCAGTCCCAGGAAGCTTCCAGTAGGCCCCGGTAGCCTGAGGCCCCAGCACGAACGAGAGCAGGCCTTGGGCCTGAGGTGGTTGCACGCACCCTTGGCTTGTTCTGGCCCAGTACCCGTATCCAGCCCAGGGCCTGCTTTCCATACATTCACACAGGCGGCCCAGGGCCTGGGTTCTTTCAACCAACTGGCGCTGCGCAACTGCCTGAATTTTCCTTAGTTGCGCAGTGGCCGAAATAGGGCCCTGAGGGCCTCGTCGAGCCTGCCTTTACTTAGGGCGGCCGACTGGCTCCTCAATGGGGGCTGACTGGGGCTCATAGAGGCACTGACCTCGCATTCCCTCCTCCTTAGCTTCAACAGTCCTCTGAGAAGCTCAATCTTCAATCATGGGGCTCTTTCCCTTCTGCAGAGATCTCTCGTAATGGGCTACAACCTGAGGAACGGTCTGCATGAGTTCCTCCCTGGTGCACCAACGATCCTCCTTCGGATCAGTGTGATGCCGGAACCGAACACGATACTGCAGCTTCGGTTTCGGAGGACGTCCCCTGCCTGTTGGTCTTGATACCGGTAGCTCTCTGTGGTCCACGATGTCATCGATATCCACCTCTCCGTCCATGGTTGGGGGCAGCATTGAGCGGCGATTTGGAAACTGATCTGTTTCTTTGAACGGTGCAAGCTTGGAGGCGTGAAAGAAAGGGTATGTACAAAGATGACCAGGGATCCGGACTACGTAAGAGGGTCCATCCGGTTCAGTCCCAACGATATCTAAGACTTCCCATGGTCCAAAGTATTGTGGCATGAGCTTGCGGGAAATCTCGTGCTCCTGTCCCAGTTCTGAGGACTTAACCCAGACTCTGTCCCCAACCTGAAATGAAGACTCACCACGGTGTTTGTTTGCAGATTCTATCATAGCCGCCTGTGCCTTTTGCGTTTGTTCTACAGCCTTCTACATCTTCTGTTCATAACGGTAAGCAAATTCTAAAGTACCTGGTGCAGCAGTTGACTGATTCTCAGGAAGGAGAAAATCTAAGGGTAGTCTAGGCTTGAAAGTCAATAGCAAATTGTTCGGGCTCACCCCAGTGGCGCTGTGTACCGCATTGTTGTACAGACTGGCGATGAGAGCAAGCTTCTCATCCCAGTCCACCTGGTTAGGCTTGATGTAATGGCTCAACAGATGTTCTACAGCGCGTTTCAGTTGCTTGGCTTGGCCGTTGGCCTCTGGGTGATTCCCAGAAGTCATTTGCAACTGGGTTCCCTGCTCAGCAGCAGCGGTCTTCCACAGTTCGCTGGTAAATCAGACATTCCTGTCACTGATAATGGATTTCGGTAAACCAAAATCCCTGACCCAGTTCTCTTTAAACATTCTAATCACGTACTCCATCCTTGTTGTTTCCGGCATTGCTACTACCCTAGCATAATTACTAAATCTATCCACAATAACGAAAATGTGCCTCATCCCACTCTTGCTGGTGACCAGTGTATCCATGAAGTCCATGGACAAACTTTCACCAGGCCTTTCCGGAATCGGAAGGGGCTTCAGGAGCCCAAGAGGAGCCTGAGTACGTGGCTTGTCTCTCTGACAAACCTGACAAGTCTCCACGTACAACTGGGCATCTTTCATCATTGTGGGCCACCAGAACCGTTGCCGCAGATTAGCTGCGGTCTTCTTGTACCCAAAATGGCCGGTGGCATCATGACACTCACCTAAAAACAAACTACGCAAAGACTCGCTATTCGGGACACACAAACGTTTATTCCCAGCCTTCTCAAGGAACAGCAAGCCGTTGACCAACTCAAGCTCGGCAGAAGTCACTTTGTCCTTCGCCTCAAGTCTGCGGATGATCTCAGACATGAACGGATCCTCGCGATAGGCTTCCACCAAAGACTGAGTAACGTTGTCCTCAAGCCCAAACTCAGTAATCAGCGCACCTGAGAAATCAGGCCTACGCGACAAGGCATCAGCAACCTTGTTGTACTCGCCCTTGATATATTGAGGCTCGAAGTCATACTGCTCTATGACTTCGATCCAACGCTTGAGAGCGTTAGAGAGTACCGACTGAGTTCTCATCCATCTCAGGGTTTGATGATCAGTCCTGAGGATGAAGAACCTCCCAAGGAGATAGTGTCTCCAATGGGTCAAAGCCTTGTACACCGCATAGAGTTCCTTCTCATAGGTGGACTTAGCCAACTTCTGAGAGGGCATCTTTTTGGACATGTACTCTAGTGGCCTTAACTTTTTCCCCTCCTGTTGCGCAAGTACTGCGCTTATGCCATATTGGCTAGCATCCGTAGTGACTATAAACGACTTATCAGGATCAGGAAGTACTGCGCTTATGCCATATTGGCTAGCATCCGTAGTGACTATAAACGACTTATCAGGATCAGGAAGTTTCAAGACCTCGTAGTGCGTCAACGCATGCTTCAGATGTCTGAAAGCAGCCTCGCACTCATTTGTCCACTCCCGTGGGGTGTCAAGGCGGGTCAGATCAGACAAAGGAGCAGCCACTATACTGTAGTTCTTAACGAAAGTCCTATTGTAGCCTGTCATTCCTAAGAAAGATCTCATCTCAGTCACAGACTGAGGACGTGGCCAATCACGAATGCTGGCCACCTTCGCGTCATCGGGCTTTAACCCTTCCGCGGATATCTCATAACCCAAGTACAAAACACGGGTGCGGCCAAACTCGCATTTCTCACCGTTGATCTTGAACTTGTGCTGTCGTAGGAGACTGAGGACTTTGTCCAAATGTGCAACGTGCTCCTCAACAGTCTTACTAAAAATAAGTATGTCATCGAGGTACACGATGACAAACTTATCCACGTAGTCATGGAATATCCGATTCATAGCGTGCTGAAAGCTGCCAGGAGCATTGCAAAGGCCGAAAGGCATCACCACAAACTCGTACAGACCGTACCTGGTCTGAAAGGCGGTTTTGTGTTGATCCTCAGGCCGAATTGCAATCTGATGGTACCCAGACTTCAGATCTATCTTACTGAAGTACCGACACCCTTGCACTCTATCTAGCAGGTCATCGATGCGCGGTAGCCGCTCTCTGTTCTTAACAGTGATGGCATTGAGGCCCCTATAATCAATGCACATCGTAAGTGTACCCTCCTTCTTAGGTACGAATAGTACTGGAGATCCATAAGGAGAGACACTCGGCCGGATCCAACCCTTCTCTACGAGTTCCTTGAGTTGTCGGCGAAGCTCATCAAGCTCGCCTGGAGACATCCGATAGATCCTACCCTTCGGGATGCTAGACCCTGGGATAATCTCTATCGCGTGGACGACCTCCCTCTCTACAACCCCTGTCGTCTCTTCAAATAGATCAGGGTACTTGGCAACTACTCCCTCTATCTTCGGCGGCATTTTCACCGGCTCGCCAGCAGAGACATAAACTAGGTACATACCCTCCTCCTGATTTTGCTTATAATTATAGAATGCGGCCGCACACATGCATCCATAGGACTTGATCAGACTATTAGCTTTGAACTTGTGTAATCTGGAGGTCCCTCCACCTGGCAAAGTGTGCTTGACCACTTTTCGGTCCCTGTCAAACTGGGGCTGAGCCACAAAGAGATAGTACATTCCTAGAAGCATATCCATTGGGAGCTCGTCACTCACTAGGAACGAGATGCGATGTCTCAATTCCCCTCCAGCATACGGGAAACAACACTCCACATTCTGGAGGTAGTCGTTGACTACCATGCGCTGTTTGTTGGCACAGGTCGACTCCATAGGACGACTCCACAGGTCGACTCCACAGGTCGACTAAGGCGCTGCACTCGCCCCTGTAAACGCAGCCTCTCAACGCACGCGCGACTGATAAAGTTCCTAGTCGAGCAAGTGTCATAATAGGCCCCGACCTTGCGGCCGCCAATGACTATCTCGCTGACGAACATCTCACCCTCGGGGGCTTTGACTAGGGCCGTCCAAGAAGCTAGCGGGTCCAATCTAGACCACTCCTCCTCTAGCTCCTCTAAGGACTCAAACACATTCATCGAACAGAGGCTCGATGGGTTTGAACGTGTTTGCGGGACGACGCTGGAGTCAGTAGCTTGGGCCATCTCTCGAGATGGTGAGGGTGTCTCCACCACCTCGACCCTCGTAGGAACAACTACTATTCCCACAGGCCACGTGTTTCCCGAAGCAGTGCCTGAAGTGCTGGCCATGTTGCTACCAACGGTATGTGAGGATCCTACCGCCTGCCCCATCGTAGGCGGGATCTTGTCGGTCACCTTCTTGTTACGACACTTAAACTGATTATGGCCATATTGGCCACAACGAATGCAAGCCTGCCGTGTGTACTGATCTCTCCACACGTCCTCTGTGAGACCCGTCTTCTCCTATGGGGGAACGTTGGGGTCAACTTGACTCCTTGACCGGGAACCTCCACGACGTCTACCGGTCGCCTTACCTTTCTGAGCAACGGCAGCGACTACTCCACCCGCTGAAGCTTCTGCGCTGCCTGCCTCTGAACCTACTCCTTCCTGGAAGTGTTCGTCCAATTCGATGGTTGAACCATCGTTATCGACAAACAAAATGCGCCCTTTCGCCTTCCAGTTAGGAGGCAGTGTCTTCCTCCTACCATCCGTAGTGGGTGCCTGTCCATGCCCTATCTTCGCCTCAAGGTCTAGGGCCTTCTTGCTGAACGAAGGAAAGTTGTGCATATTGATGTTGGCCTCACCTGCCAATTGGTTCCTGAGAGGCAAAGAGAAGCATCTCAGGTACGAGGTGAGTAAAACCTGGGGGTCATAGCGCACCCCAGGGACACAGCGTCGGTGGCTTCCCTTACTGACTTAAACTACCGTGTGTGCAGTGTCAGGATCGCATCAGTGGCCCTTTGGGCCTCCTCAGGATTATGCCACCATTCCTCTTGCAGCTTAAGGAAGTCATCCAATTTATGGGTGACCGCCCAAGTGCGGAAGTCATGACCATACCCCTGGAGCTGCACTAAACCACTCAACCATCTTGTTGCACTACCCTCTAGGTAGGAGGCAGCCACAAGCACTTCTTCGTGCGGCAAGGTAAGTTTACACCTGACATAGACTGGCACTGCCCTCAACCACGTGTCAAGGTCTTCGCCCCTCTTATCCCCTGTGAAGGGTTTCGGAGCAGCGATGGCCGTCTTTGGCACCCATTGTGTTTGTCCCGGTCCCTGTATCACTCCGGGCTGTGGACCCTGTGAAACAGGCTGCTGTACTAACTGCTGGGGCTGTGTGCCCTGTGGCTGTACCGGCTGCGAGACAGCAGGCTGCGTGGTGACCGCAACCTGCAACGGAGATTGGGTGTACACTGTCTGTACTGGAACCTGCAAACTAGATCCTGTTGTGATCCCTCCTGATAGCGGCATGCCCAGGGAAACGATCGCAACCGATGATGGGGCTACATATGGGGATACCCCAGTCACCGGTGGGACAAAAGGAGGAGGATGTACAACGGGCCAGGCACCAGGCCCGGACATTGGCGACGTAGCCTGCGCTTGCCCAACCAACAGGGCCAGACTTTGCTGGATGTCCTGAAGGATGGCTGTCTGATGGTCCTGCATCTCAACTACATTCAGCAGGACAGACCGTACGATCCTCACCTCGTCAGTAAACGAGCGTCAGGTCCATCTCCTCTAACTCACTAACGTCCGCTTGTCTACGTTGCATCCTGGCTCTTCTTCTAATCATTCTTTCTTTCTCCGCTTTTATATCTCCTAACGCTTTCTGTAGTTGTGCCTCCTGCAATGCTGCTTGTTGTATGGCGATCTCATCGGATGTCAACACTAGTGGTTGGCTTGCCATTACGCCTGCGGACTGACTCTGGTCTGCGCGACCGTTGACCCGACAGACCCTGAACTACCGGCCTGAGTAGTCTGCTGCGCAGAAGTGGCCATGGCTTCTGAAGTTGCGGCCTCACTCACAAGTGCCCTGCTAGCCTCCGCTGATGTAGCCCTCCTTTGCTGCTGCTGCCTCTCCCTAAGCCGGTGGAACAAAAATCTATCACCCTCTGGTCCTAATGCCAAGTGGGCAACTGGGCGTCCAGCCGATCGCAATATCCTCCGGTCGTCCTCTCCAGTGTCCTCCTCGTCGCTCATAAGCTACAGCCCTGTACACAATCTGCACTAATGCACTCTAGGTGCCTACCGCAGTGCAGTGCACAGACCAGTTAACTGGTGGCTATTTCAGAGACTTTACATTCGGGCCCAAAAGGTAAGTCAGATTCCTACAAATAAAACTATTTTTAGTTTGACTAGTCCTCAAACAGAAGCACCATGAACAAGAAACAGGTTTAACTAATGCTATGTGTCAGATTTCAATGGTTGTACACCTAACTAATCAAAACATAAGAATAGAATCATTTGTGTGGATAGGACAACATGGAATTTTCTCGAACTTATCACTTGGAATTTACCCCTCCCTTAGTTCCCCTGAGTATCACTTGACGTCCGCGTCCCTGAGCAATCTGGAGAGCGTCACGTGTCTAAAGGTGTGTGTCCGGCCCACCCCTGTGCCCCGAGTATCTGTTGAGCTGGCCAACCTTGCACTGGATTATCCTCGCGTGCAATGAGCCTTACAACCATTGGCTGATCCAGAGGCAATTTAACGTCCGCCCCCAAGTGACTCCAGGAATTCTTTTACGTCGCAGCCGGACGACGATCACAACCAATGGTTCCCCTTCCGTTGCTTATTTAAAGACGCCCGGTCTCGTCTCCCTTAACGGCTGGCCTGCCCTTCAGTACCCATCTAACAGCGCAGCAAGCCGAACAAAGGACAAGCAGCAAAGCATGCATGCTCTACTCCCGGTGGGTTGGCATGGTGACCGTGACCCAATGCTTCGTCCAGGGCCCTTCAGAAAGCTCCGCCCATCTTCTCCCAGATGCTCTACGTGAACATTGCCGACTCTCAAGGTTGAGCGCACTCGACACCTCACAATGAGAGGACTCTCAAGAAGGAACACAACCTCACGGTAAGAAGTGTCGTAGAGGGTAAGAGCAACGTACCTCAAATAGCTGCCCCCAACCACAGAGATAATCTCACCAGATGACCTGATGGTGATTGCGATGACCAGTCACTGCATCGGCACAACCAGCATTATCTCGCCATTCCACCTCAGCATCAATCGCAAATTAGATAGTTCTCATCACACTGTCCAGACCACATTACTTCACGTAGCCTTCCTGGCGATCCCCTCACCTCCTGGGTCGCCACTCACTCGCCTCCGCCCTCCTCACTACACACCACTTACGACCAAACTCGCCAAGCAGACCGCATGTATGTACCGTACCAGGCAGAAGACAAACGCCAGATGAGCGCAAACTTACCACAACTCCGATACCAAATTGCAAGGAAGATGAGCAATATCGAACTTCAGCAATCAAACAGCATCATACATATGAGTCCAGATACTCTTGACCTCGAACCAACAGCAGAATTGCATCGCGAGATTCACCAAATAAGAACACACCAAGAGTTCATAATTGACAATGCTGAAATAGTCCCATCATCATCATCAACGAAGAACCAGAGTTGATATC